ATCCTCCTTCGTAAGCGTTGTCGATTGGGTGAAAAGTGTGACGATGGTAATACTGAGTTTCCCACATAAAAAAAAATGCCGCCTACTTCCATTCCACCAGAGCGTGGCGGCCAATTAGGGCGGTTTTGTGTAAAATTGTGGCTATTGCAAGGGGACCTACACCCAGAGCCTCCATTTGGAGCGATGAGGAAGCCAAAACTCCCAAATAGGATCCTAAGTCGTTACAGAACTCCAGATGTCGCGATTTGCCAGCAGTCACTAGCCGTTTGCAAAGTCGTCGGTTTCTCGTAGCACAGTAACAATAAAAAAGAAGTGAAAGAAGAGAAAAGAAAAGAAAAGAGGTACGAATTTTAAGCCTAGTTAAGGTGGGGTACTTAACGTCTGTGTATGGCACTGAGTGTCAAAAAGTGACAGTAAAGCAGCCTCTCCCAACATCACTTGAAGCTTTGTGACCTGGTAATGGTAATGTAATAAGGACTGAAAAAAAATATATGTAGGAAGATGGGTTTCATAATTTATTTTTATTGCCAGTTGTACGTGACTATTGGGGCTTCATTAATGAGGACCCGCCCATCCTGGAGGATAAATCAAACAGGTTGTGTAATTTATTACCTGTGCCCGTTTTCAACGAGCTTGTTTCCACCTCTGCACAGGTGAGACGCTTTCATGATCCCCGCCCCTTCCCGTCCCCCCTCTCCCCCCCCAAAAAAAAATTTAAAATAAACTATTGAATCATGTGGGATGGTTCTGGTTTGAAGATAATTGCATTCTTTCGAGTTCTCAAGGGAGGGATAAATTGTGTGAACCACCCCTATGACACTTGATGTCGCATTGACAGTTGGGGTGGTCAATTTGTCACTGACACCCCAGCACTGGGGCTGCTGAGAGAAGCCTCACAAAACCAATCGGTCAGTCACAGTTAAGTGCTATTTAAAACGACTTGAGAAACTCATTAATTCTCGTTTAAACAAAAAAAAGACTCTCCCGTTTTATCATTTTATTTTTACAAATTTGTAGGTAGATCAGGTCTGGTGAGGCGCGATAATTGAAAAAAACTCAAAGAAATAAGCTTTGAAAAAAGGGCAATCTTTCATTTTTGCTAGGTACGCGTCACTCAGCTGTTGGGTGTGTAAAAATTGGTATTTTTTGTTTTGTGTGAGAGAGATGGGAAAAGCGGCGCGTCAAGTCTCTCCCTTTAGTGCTGCCGTGACTATTAGCACGATCAAAGGCTGAGCTGCAGATGGGGTTTACAACCCTGCAAGCACTGAAGTGTCCGTGTACTTTGACACACTTGAACAAAATGTCAGCTTTCCAACACCGTCTCCCTATTCCCTCCCAGTCGGATCAGCGTTGACTGTCTTAATCATCACAAAGTAGCATTCCGAAGCGTTAAGAACCGCTTGCAAAACAGCAACTGCAATCATTTCGCCTGTTTTGTATGTACGAAGGCTTCGCGTCACTTCCATTTGCTCCACCTGTGGATAGGTTTTAGCCTGTGACATGGATGAGGAGGAAGTAATGCCTTTTGACAAAGGCTTAGGTGCAAATCGACGGTCTGATACGCACAAGAAAAGTGGATTTCTTACTTTCGTGTTAGTCGATTTCCATTCTTTTTCAGACATTTGACTGTCTCTCTATCTTTTTCTCCACTCTACTTCAGCAAGAGTGTGAAGGAGGTTTAATTTGGGAGTGCCATTTACTAGAATAGCTAACGCCTTTAAAACGAACCACTTGGAATTGCTCAAACCCTGCAATCCTGCAGCTGCTGATGCTCTGTTTGTGGAACAAAAGGTGACAATAGACAAAAAAATATGAATAAATCGGATTAGGAATGCTTATTTTTTTACAAATCTTCAATAAGCCAGTCAACAATAGCGTTTGACTTTCTTTGGTGTTATTAGAACTTGGAATAGTTTTCAGTATGGAAGAATGCACGTTACTAGTGCAGGAGACGTGCAAGGCCTCAGGCAGGCTGAAGTCGACGCCCTGGCACGGAAGCATACCTTGGAAACCCTGAAATCATTTGTGTGTCTACAAGTTCGCGTCTGAGTCAGACTGCAAATTTATCAATGCGTAAATTAAGGCAGGCCTTAGAGACATCCAAGTTATGGTGACGTGATTGACTAATTCGTGGAGATGGAAGTTGGATCATGGGAGCGGAATAACTAAGGTTGTCAACAGACTCCTTCAAACTTAACCATAAAAAGTACTCTGTTAACTTTTTTGCAGTTTTCAAGGTCAAACAAACTGCTCAAAAGGTCTAAAATGTGATACCCTGTTTCTGCTATACTACTTATTTCTTTAAGGCAAATTAAAAATAGTTGTGACAGTTGGGGTAATTCAGCACGCAGACTCTCGTTTAAGACCGACTTCTGTCTGCACAATTTAAGCGCATATATAAGTCTACAAAATTGGGTTTTTGAGCCTTGTGTATAGAAGTTGCTCTTTGCTGCGCCCAATGCAGAGGTTCTAGCCACTACGATGGAAAGGGGGGGCCATGATGGGAAAAACTGATCAACCACGAGCAAGTTAAAAGGCTAATGCCAATCTCAACGTGAGATACCACGACACGAATTATACCTTAATGCGTAACCGTACTTAGTCATTCTTAAGTCTAAGTTGAAGGATTTGGACTCGTGGCTTTTCTCGAACCACTCCATTCCCTTCAAAGTCGAATTTCTGCAATTACGGATTGGGATTGTGGCGACCGGAATCTTGAACTGCAATGTGAAAAGGAATGTTGAGAAGGTGCACTTCCATCTTGCTTATCGTATAGGTTAAATCGGGTCTAAGAAGATACTTGTACAAAGTTTGGTGCACTTGTATTCTGCCAAATGGGGAGAAGGGAGCATTTACATTTCAGTGGGCAATGAGTAAAAAACCATTTCCGCTAAAGATAACTATCAAGATTTCGCGATATTTTTCGTGATCTCATAAAATCATCGCCTTTTGAGCCACACCTACTGGTAAAATAAAAATCATTTTGCTATGCATGAAAACCATTATCTTATATTTACTATCCTCAGAACTGTTAGTACAACAAATTGATGTTTATGGCCCAAACAATGGTTCGGTTATTCCTGGAGAATCTTATTTTCGTAGGTGTGATGATGCATAGGGTGCTCACATCGGTAAGCCGGTGGTACCAACAAAACTAAACCAATTGTTCAATTAAAGCCAGTTATTCACTCTTAATCTTACATTGAAAGCTTATGACTCAAGAGGGCAAAATTTGTGACTGAATGTTCTACGCGCCAAGAGGCCTGTCAAAGGGAAGGAGAAAAGTTATTAGAAGTTTAAGACGTCAACAAGAAACAAGGCTCCATATAAGTATACTTTTCCTTATGAATCAATGAAGTGGACCATAATCTAATAGAGGCATTGCTTGACACTGACCGATGGTCTGAGAGAGACAGTGCCATTGTAATTCATTGTTTATGTGATCATCTGGTGTCTAGTGGTGACTTTGGTATTCGCCTTGCCCTTGTACCCGTGGCCTGGCCTTCGAGCAAAGTCAAAATACAATCTTCTCCCATCCTCCTAGAGGAAGTGCAATGAGTCCAACCTAATGCTTTCTTCTACCTAATGAGTAGGCTCGGGAAATCCATGTATCACTTAATCATAGTCGTAAATGTAGCACCCCGAAACATCCCACCAGGTTGAAGAAGGCAATAAATTGGGCTTGATTACTGTATTTTTAAGAGAATAAAATTGATAGTGCCTTCAATTGGCCTAGAGGCGAGACGAATTTCCAACTCCCCGCCAGACATCAGGTGGTCACCTTAACAAAGCATTATGTTGGAAAGTAAATGTTCACCACCTAAGCACAACGAATATCTGAATTTTCGCGAAGAGATTACAACAAAGGACACTATGAGGTCTTTAGCAGAAGTGTAAATACGAAATGGCGATTTGCTTGTATCAGAATCCAATTATAGAAATGATGTTATTATAGTACATAAAAGGATAAGAAACATAGCTCATATTAAATTTAAAGTTTTAGAATAAGCAATTTAATGGAATATGTATTAACGATGCATAAACAACGAGTGCATTATTTTCATTAGAAGGGCAGCTTTAACATGATGCTCATGTTTTTCCTTTTGATTGACCTTTATTTAACCATTTACGCCAATGGCTGTTTGATTGGCTAGCCTATGTGGCTGAGAGGCATCACTTGATTATCCTCTTTGATCTGAGATGAATGTCAGCGGCATTGAACTCTCAACAGTATCTCCTCAAGTCAAATGTGGGAATGCCTATTGTGTAGAAATGTACCCTGTATGCTTTGCTGGAGTCGACAGAAGGTAGGTTAGTTACCTGTACCGCTACTCCTTCAGATGTGACCGAAATAGGGGCAGAGGAGTTTGGACGCATCATTCATTTGGTGAACATATGTGTCTTAATTGCAAACAATTTTTTGATTCTATCAAGTAAATTCTATCTAACACTTAAGCTGTTAGCACCACTTCACGCTGTTTGACCATTGAGCAGGATACATGGTATCGGCGTTTTAGAGAATGGGTTGATAGTTTTAAAGATTGGTCTCTTCCCTACGGGGAGGCGAAAATCTCAGTATATGACTTCATAACCAATAATGTACTGCCTTTGTGGCGCAAATGCACAAAGTGTGGACGATGGAGACACGTACCAACTGGTTTTGGTTCAAATCTTGCAATATCCAAACGGGAGTTCAAATGCCTTGCGACTTCAGCGGTACGAATGGAATAAGTTGTTACTTTTTTTAATGGGGTGAATGCTTTTAATGATCACCTTCTTTGCTTTAGCTTGGAGGTTCCCCTTGTTCCCAACCCGAAGATCAGGTATATTTGTGCATTTCAATTTACTTGTATGTTCCATGCATTTTCTCAGCGTAGCAAGTTGTTGGCATTTTTCAGCTTGGAGTATGCTTGGCTAGAACCCTTTTATGCTGGGCTTGTGATCCTGTGAGGGAATGTAGATACTAATTCACCAAAACAGCATATTTACTTTTGTTTTAGCGAGTTTCTCTGGTTGTAAATAATCGCATTAACTTTCAAGCCAGTATGCAAATGCCAGGACTAGTGCACAATAGTCCTCTGATCTTCCTCTGTCTGCAGTATTCGCCTGTTTTGTTGGGTATAGAACCTCCACCTCTAGGAACTCAGATTGATTATGTCAAGTCTGGTGATTGGTCATTAAGTGAGTTGGTAATTTGGCGAGAACTTAATGATGTTTTGATGATGTTTTGTTTTGGAGTATATTTTTTCTGCAATTATTTTCTAATGTTCCTTTGCAACTGTGCAGCATTCACTATACTTGAATAGGTAAAGCTAGGATTAATGATTTTGGTTGTTTTTTTGGGTCTCAATCTCAATCTCATCAAAGAATGGTGGATAAACTTATGGAGCTTAAATTAGCAAAGAAGCATGATTGGTTTCTCTCTCCTCCAGACTATCCGGAGTTCCGAAAACCATTTTGTGGACCAAATGAGTTCCCTATCCCTCCCGGATCCTGGTCACCCATAGAAATTTTTAAGTGGGAGAACTCTTTATTTCCCTTCATGACACGGTAACTAAACTTTAACTAATATCGTCAACCAGCCTTCAGAGTTTTGTGAACTAACTCATCCACTATATGCTCAAGGTATCCATCGTTATATCGGGCCATAAGGAACACTGTGATACACCTCTGGAACCGCCATAGATTTGTACGTTTTCTTTCTGTTAAATAGAGCATACTTAATTAATGGGGCTGGTTATGGTGGTGTTTTTGTCTTTAAAGCAAATGGTCACTGCCAAAAACGCATCAAGATTCCTTCTCATAAGGGGGCTGATACGCATCATAATTGTCGACCAGTGGCTTCCCTTCCTTCTGGAGCAACTAACTTATCGAGGTCTCATTAATATTGGATCTTGTGTCAAGTGGACACCGGTATGTGATTATTCCATCACAGACTTTTGCCCTCTGTCGCAATTCTCTTTCCTACGTTCGACCTTCACTTAGCTATTTTCGGTTCATTTACATGGATTCATATGTTGTGCTGGTCGGGAGAGTAGTTTTCCGTTTCCACTCATAACTGGTGGAAATAAAGCGAGTTTATTGCTTGCTTAGTTTCAGCTGACTTTTTAGATGTTCTTGTTTTTGTTCGCATTCATTCTTATGATCAAATTATTTCAGCCCCTATGTTCAAAGCTACGGCGAAGTGTAGTCGTTGGACCCACGGATTTGAAGTCGGCAGTCTTATTCTCTCAGCTGAAAAATGGCTTTGAGTTGCGTCGAAAGCATTCCACAAATCCACGTGATGTGGTCGAATTTTCTGCATTTGAAAACGTTCATTTCTCCGCCCTGTTTGTGGAATCTCAATTTACTCTTCAGGTGGACGGCATTGGAGAGGCAAGAATTTGTGGTTCTTTCAGTGCCCGTTAATGCTTGAGTTGACAAGTGCCTTTGTCTTCCGATCTTAGACTCGAATCGCCTTCTTGAATCACTGCCTTGGAAACCACATAATTGATCCATTCAACAATGACGTGATGTTGCTTGCGCATCAAGTTCGTTTCTGTCATGACTATCTGACTACTCCACCGATCTCATCTTCTATTTCTTTCTCTACAGCTTGGTTTGGAAAGTATAGTCGAACTGCCGGCAACCATATTCAACCAAAGAGGCGAGAGGCTGGTGGTTGTTGTTGATGACATGTTCAACCGCGTTCGAAGAACCACCTATAAGTTTTTCCTTCACTTAATGAGCAAAATGACATTCGAAACCGATTTACTCAGCTTAATGACTGTGCAAGGTACAAATTTGTACAAATCATTTGTACATTTGTACAAATCAGCGGAACCTTCACACTCAATTTCATGCTTTTTTATCCTTCAGACATGTTTGATTCCTTGGAATGTAAGATGTTGAGTCAACTACCAGAGCAGGGGACTTTTCAGGTACATTTAAGCCTTGGTTAAGTTGCTTGAAGGCTTGACATTCATATATGATTCTCTTTTTATGTACAGAATGACTCTCAACTATGCGAGTACTTTCTTGCGTGCATAGAGGAGCGATTGATTGAGAGATTGCTTCTTTATGGGGATGAAAATACTTCAACACCTATCTCGCTTTGCAACATTTCACCCGTCTTGCTGCAATCACTGTTATCTAGTTCCGACCCTTTTTATCCGCAAACCTTGCATCTACTCAGTGATAAATATGGGCCCTTAAGGTTTGCTGGTATCAATGCTCATAAAGTGTTTGTTGATCGTCTTATTCCCTCCACCTCCAAGGATAATAGAGTATGCAGTATTGTTTTTCAACATATCGGCCCACGTGGTGGTCTTCACGTCTTGCGTCAAAATGAAAAAGGACTTCAACCGGTTGCTTCTGTACGTCCGTACTTTATATTTGATGTGTTTTTGCTACTTAAAATCTGTTAGTATAATTTTCTGCGTTTTTGTTTAGACTATCGTGACTCTTCCTGCCTCCGCCATCAAGATCATCTTTTGTGATGATCCAGTGGAAGAGGCGCTTCTATCGCATCATTCAGGAGTGGAAAGCAACTTCCTGCAAATATATTTGCCGCATCATTTCCGAATTCCCATTGGTAAGGCAAAGCATTATTCCAGAGGAGGGACTGAAAAACCGCTTTGCATGTCAGTGACTCTGATCTATCCGTCCCCTTGGTGGCGTCCACTCCTTAGCAGGGCAATGGAACCCGAATCTTTGTTCATGGAGGGGTACGGGGTCGATCTTGATGAATTTCCAGAGGACTTCAAACCCCCATCTTTATTTGCTTTTATCCCTGAGGATCGCTCGTTGCGTGGCTTTTGCCATAACTTTAGAGATCTATCCTATGTGCGTTTTTCACATCATTTTATCTTTTCAAATACTGATTCAGCCATAGAGCTTTGTGCTAATGCTTGTCCCTTTATTAGGACCAGCCAGAAACTGTGGGCATAATTCAGACCCAAATTTTTTCCAAAAGTGTTGAGACTCATTGGTCAACTGATGACGAGGTCCTAGCTCAATTAGTACACACTCACCTGGTAAAATCCCTCAAGGCTAGCAAAAATGGCTACCAGAGGTATATTGCCAGTTCAGTGAACCGTTTATCTCCCTTGGCTATATCCAATGACACACGAGATCCGCCCTACCTTGAGGCCAGGTCAATTAATCCTGAACTCACAAAAGTCGATAAGGCCGTCTACTTCAGAAATGCGGGAAAACCAAACGTTGGAGGTACCAAGTTTGATTTCTTCATCACTGAGGATTGGTGGGCGCTCCTGTCAGATGGGGCGGGCATTCATGTTTTATCAGAGTTGACACGTTCTTGTGAACCGGCCAAAATCCCAGAGGTAAGTTCGTTTATATTGATCAAGGCGGTTTGATAATCTTCTATTTCTTTAATGTAGGAAGAGGCTTTGGCGAGAGACGCTCTGTCATGGGAGGTTATGACGGGTCTCAAATGGGCTAAGTTCTGTCTCACAGCGGATTCACATCCAACCTGGTCGGAGAATCGCGCAATAGTCAGTCTAAAAGCCGCTGCTATTGATGCACGATCTACCTTTTCTTCGGAAAGTTCTAATGTTTACATAAGGAATGCAGATAATGGTGACGATCATATCGTTGAAAATGAAAACAGGACGGAAATTCAAGTAGCGAGTGCATTGAAGCGTTCCCATTCTGCGTCCCTACGTCGATCCTCCCGACTTGTCAAACGACCTTGCACAATGAATCTGTAAACTCGGTCTCATTTGCATTTGGTGCATGCTTGCGCATGTGGGTGTGTATGTACTTACTTCATGCTTCTGTGCTTTTTATGTGTGTTCATGTGGATGCGCTGAAAGATTATGAATATTTTTGCTAATTCGTCAATATATTTTTCATTCTTGTGCTGTGACAATTTTCATTTGTGTCTCTTAATCGACCACAATCATACTGTTTCCTCCATACATAGGTGGTGTTTGCCTGCGACGCTCTTACTGGTGGATCCGAGACGTCCTGTTAAGTAGTAGAGGACGTAGCACTTAGCTGAATGCGTATTTTCAGAATTTGATGCTTTTGACATGGTCCAGGGGTCATTCCTTCTGACTGAAGCGATACGGCCGTCAAAGTGACCGCCACCTACATAGGCGGTCTATCAAACACGATATTGCTAACTCCTCTCTTCTTTTAAGCGACGTCTCCGTCATGCCCCTCCACAGACCCCCTGCGTCAACCATCACAACGCAATCGGTGCTGAAAGAAAACTCACGACCCAGCTGCGCTAATCATCAACCTCAGGGTGACTGAGACACGGCGCTTGGCCTCATTATTCCTCTTAGCAGTTTCAACTGGATCTGGACTTCCGTCTAGCCTGAAAGCAGGAATCAGCGTTTGTCTTCAGGGCTAGGTATTGGTACACTGGTCTGGATAGTTCACGGCAGATGTCGCCTTAGTTGTTAGTACCTTGCCGGTGGAATACAGAAATAGGGTGGGTGTCGAAGGTAGGCATCATTCCCAGCTCTTCTGTTGTGAAGTTAGGGGTCTTCCTACTGAAGCAATATTAACCTCGTTTGTACTGCAAATTTTCTTTGTAAACAGTCAAAATGTTTAAATGTCAATTTTGCTGAACACTGTCATCATTGTAGCCTCCTGAGACTTACTATTCGATGGTAGATGACATGATATTTTGCTGAATGCATATTTAAGACAGATGGGAAACAATGTTCTACCTTAGCACTGGAAAACTTCTGAAGGTTAAGGAAAGCACTGGTGTCAAAGTCAGATAATGTTGACGCATAGAAGACCTTGGAGGCCTTCCTCAAAGGCTGGTATACATGGCGAAGATATGTTAGCATAGGAATGCGTATCACTTCTACTATTTAATGATTGTGCAAAAAAATATTCCACTCTGGGGGACTGGTGTGTTTCACAATTGCATTTCGTGGGAATGAGAATTACATGGCTAAAGTAGTGCCCCCATCTCGTTTTTATGGCGTCGTCCCATCATTTTTATGCATGAAGAGGTTATTAACCCTATCCTTACCTCCTAACCATCCTTGATTTAGCCTCTTTCCCTCGTTAAGAGGTCTTCCGCGTGACTAATAAAGAAATGGAACTTATTGCTAAAATAATGAACACCGGTTTTTGTAGTTCACCCGCCTTCGAAGCTAGATTGTTCATGAGGGCTTGCTGGCACCACCTTTTAGCTCTTTAGGCTCGATTTTATGCCTTCCAGGAGGATTAATAAGCCGCATATTTTGAGTATCAAAGAGAAGTTGCGGACAGTTCGGAAAGTTACGGTGATGCTGTTTCACAAAACAGAAAATTGGTCCCCCATTTCAGCTGAATATCTTCTTATAAGTTGTGATGCGGAGGTCCAGAAATTTGGGATTTAACAACTCATAGGTAGATATTCACTACTGTGAAACTATTCTTGACGTTGTCAGCCTATGCGAACATTCGACTTAAGCTGTTAAAATTTGGACAGTTCTTAACTTGTCGAACTATTGTATTGTCCTGTTTGCCAAAAGGCCGGTGTTGGAGTTCCCTTTATAAGTGAGGGTAGGGACTGAAAGGCATGGCTGGGCACCACGGTGGTTGTAGCTAGTATTGCTAGGTGCTACAGTGCTTCAAGACTACTCCACAGAAGGGAGAAGGTACAACACTCAGGGTTGATGATTTGTTGAAGGGCGCAATGGATCCTCAGGGTTACGGACATGGTCCAGAGGTCAAGTCGGCCACTAGTTAAAACACCCAAAGTATTGCATAGTTTCTCACCTCTTTGGAGCCTTGGCTGTCCGGCCTCACCAACTATCAAACATCATAGTTGCCCCTTGCCAATGTCACTAGATACGGGCTTTTGTTCCATACGGGAAATGTGTTAAGGTTGACAAACCCTCTCAGGAATGCTAGCGCCTTTCGCATAGAGCTCAAGACTGAAGGGGCTGCTGAGAGCGGACGCATGACAGCGGTTGTGGAAACCAACGCAGCTTGGAGATCAGCAAGCCGCGAGTACAATGCCGAGACTCCCAAATGATCCGGTGCCAACAAGTGGACAATTGAAGTACAATGATATTATCTCGAAGAACGAAATGATAGTACGTTCTATAAAACTCGATGAAGTTCTTTTGAGTTAATGCTTTCCTGCTAATGCAATCTGAGCGCACGAGCAAGAGTTAGCTCCATATTTTGATGCCACTCTTCCTCCCTTTTCATTATCACTTCTAAGTCTCTCACCACAGGACAAATCAGTTCGAAAAAAAGTCAAATTTGACCAGTTTCTTTGTGCTAAAATTATTTTTTTTTCCACATGAGAGTCAGCAATTATTGGAGCTTCAATTGTCTCCAGAGCGATACTCAAACCTGTTTAATCTGACCTCTTTTCCGTGGAAGCAAGAAGCAAAACGAAACTATCTTTACCATCAAAGAGGCACGAAGAAAACGCCTCTTCTCTATTCCCAATTCTCACCTGTTGTGTTTTCACCTTCAAGGTTTGATTCATCTCATGGGAATAGGATGAGAGTGCTTTTTCCGTTAATTTACCACTCAGGTATTGCGGGAGAAGCAAGCACTCTCGAGTCTCGCCAAGTGGATAGCCTAAAACTGCAACTTTCTGACTTTTATAGTGAAAAAAATTTATGGTAGATGACCCTATTTGCAATCCACTGCATAACAAATGGTGCTCTGGAAGTGGACAAACTCATTTCAGATGGCAATTCAGTCAGTAGATAAACAGTTTTATAACATAAAAGAATACGGTTTAACATTTGTTTACCGTCTCTTGGTGCTTGAAATACGGTGTATGGATGCGTCGTTTAGTATTATTTTGCCTTCTCACCTGATACAGCATTGATAGAAACTGTCTCATTTCCCAATGCGAAGACTTGGTTGTCCTTGAAATTGAAACGATGGATTAAATACCCAATCAAAGCATTGGATGGTTTCCATTTCAGCATCGACGGCGCCTTTCTCTACTATCAGCTGCCCGTATCATCATGTTTGGACATAGCTAAGATCATATCTGGCGTTTCATTCAGTCAGAAAAAGTATAAGGGAAAATCACGCTTGTCCACCCCCCATTAGGTGAGGCGCTGGTCTACGAGCAGGATCCAACATATGCAACTTTGGAAAAAAGATTTTGCATCTCCTCTTTGTTTGATATTATACGTCACCTTTGTCCGGCTACCGATCAGACTGATGTCTATTTATCCAATAGGAAAGACACGTGTTTACCATCAACAACTCTGTCGTGTTGCTGCCCCACCAAGTAAGAGTCTGTTTACTTACCGAAGGTAAACTTCATTTTTATCCCTCCTGTAAAGGATTGGTACAAGTCCTCTTGCTTGAATCATATGAGTTAGTACCTGGCCGTAAAAAAGGTGTTCTTCAGGGTCAAGTTCGCCTTATGCTGTCATCGAAGTAGTGTTTTGAGACCTTCTTGATGAAAAAGTCTACTCTCGAAGCATGCTGCGTGCTATCAACTTGGAGACTGTCTGAGGGGTTACAAACCAAGACACTGAAAGCGTGCCATCAAAATAAAGCGGTGTTGCGGAGCCTTAGACGCCCTTGAAATCGAAACAAAGGACTAAGCTTTGCTTGTACTTATGGGCAAACCCAAATTCCGTCCAATGAGTCCAAAAGAGGTGACATGAGGTTTTCAGCTTATAGGATGGAGACTGTACTAACAACAAATAAAGCATACCGAAAACAGAACAAACACTTTATTGCTTAGTTTTGAAAGGTCTTCCAATTCTCTTGAACCAATGTTGACGCCAAATCTCGGGTTAAGGAAAGTGCTTGAAGGTGGGAGATTCAATGATAACAAGAAAGGACAAAATTGCAACAGGAAATTGTAATAAAATACATACATCACTGTACAAAGGAGCAGTCTACTTATTTCCAGCAAAAGGCATGTACTTGTACCGCTTGGGATCAATGCCAGCTGCTTTCAAACGCTCATCTGAGAGTTTTGGCTTCTTTAGGAAAGGTTTTTGGTGACACGGCTTCTTCTCTTTCCTCCCAGCTGGAGCAACGCATTCGAGCTTTCGCTTTTTCATTGGACGAGACTTCTCAGTCTTCGGTTCAACAATTTCAGTGGAATTGTTCAACGTGGATTCATCGTTACCCTGAGTAATAGTAGCTTCGGCTGCAACCACCGTGGAGAAGAGTTCAGCTTTGCGTTGCTTTTTTCGAAGGCGTTTCAAGGCCTTTCTGAAGTGATAGGAAATAAAACTTTAAATAAATTTATGGTGACCACCAGTTGTTCGATGAGTTCGTTTGCGACTTCCAAGGCAATTCAATATTCAACACCTGACTGTACTACGTCCAGTTCCTCAAGGCAGCATGTCAAAGTGATGAATGTGGACGTTTTATGAGTGCCGATGATTGATACACAACAAAAGGTGTTATAATTATAAGGAGGCATCTATGCTCCTTCCAATTTGACATAAAAATGTTTTACGTTAGTAAAATTGGAAGTAAAATCTCTCTTTTAAAAATTTACAAGAAAAGTTTTAGTTAATACCGATAGATACGATGAGAGTGAACAATTTACTTACATTCAAACAAAATACCTCTTTTACTTGACTAAACAGTGTTTAATGCCAATAACGAGAAGCTACTGAAGGCGACTTTCCACATCAACTAGAAATACTCAAGACGATTCCACTGGTTGCAATAGCATGTTTTCGTCTGCTTTCAGCATCAGCAAACCACGGCTAAACCCAATGCAAAACCGAGTTTGCCTGCTTTTCCCAGCTAGTAGCGTTTTGGCGTTTAACGGCATAAAAGCGCCGTCATGAAGTGTGAGCGTGGGGATGAATTATCTGAGAGCCCTCAGTGATTTATAGCTCGCGTGGTACACAAAAAAATCATCTACGGCTATAGCAGCTGAGAACATGAACGCCCATAGGCAAATGCAACCCACACGCCAACCATTAACAAATAGCAATAAACACCGAAGACTACCAGTTTGCTGCCTTTTATTAAAATGCAAAAAAAAAAATTAGTTGGGAAATTGTTGACTGAGAGACCAATTTGTGATCAGAACAAAGACGTTGCAACCCAACGATTCAACACGCGATCAGAAAAAAGGATACTCTATTCACTACAGCTCACACGATTAAGACGCGCAACACTTTAAGCCCGGAACGCCATGGATGGATGGAGCGTGAGATGGAGTGTGAATGCAGTTGTCCCCTCCATACATCCCTCACTGGGGATGCCGGTCAAGGCACAGCTACAAACTGGCCATGCAGTGGGAGTCGAGGGCGCGAGCTATGGTGTCAGTTGGGAGGACGTCCTCCTTATACGCGTAGAAGATAATGAGAAACCTCTCATTCCAGTCCACCAATAAAACCAAACTGTGAGAGGTCCTCGTGTTGCAAATGACGACTACCTTATTCTCATTTTCATATTACTGAAGCCTTATCGGATGGCGAGTAATCCAGACTGAAGTGTTAGTGACGGAATGGGGGAATTGGAAATGAGTGAGACTAATTTCTCCACTCCTGATTGATCACTTGAACAAGTAAAACAAAATTTAGCTTTAATTGCCAAAAATAGCTTGAAACACTTGGGTTTGCCCGCATAAACAATTTGCAATCAACAAATTTGTTGAGCAATGGTGTTAACAGATGAAAATATGGCGTCTTTTAGCCTGAAAATTCCCCAAAACAAATTCGATTTTTTTGAAGAAAAAAAACGTGGTGGAATTAGATTTAGATTGTTTAAAAGGAATTTGCAAATGCATGTGCGGAAGTGGATGAAGAAAATATGGCAGTGCAATGCGTTTGGCGGTGCATTAAGTCCCGGTTTTGGGATGGAAATTGCTTGGTTTCTCCACTACTGTACCTTTGTAAGGTGGACTGGCCTCCAGGCCATGCCAACAGCTTCCAGAATCCTTCTGTACGTAGACAGCACACAGCTCATTGAGACTCCGGTTTTTATCGTTTCAGAGGAGGCAACCACAATCATAATGGGTATCTATTTGGTATTTCTACTGCCGAGTGATTAAACTAAGCAGAGTGACAAACGGGATAACCAGTGACGAACCATAACAGGCCCGAAAATGACATCCACTTTAATGAGTATCAAAATCCCGGGTCTATACGGAAGCTGATAATAACCGAAGCGAAAACAGGTGTTGAATTAAACCATTTGAATAAATCTTTAACGAGAGATCTACTGAAATTTGCACAAAGATGCTCGTGAAGTGAACACAGGATAATCCCTTCAACCTCCTCTCCCATTGGCTGGATAGAATCCGAATAGATATGGCCGGATGACAGGAAGGAATAAGCCTAAAATCTCTGTTCTATTTGATCAGCATGAAAACTACTAGCTATGCGTAAATGCAGTGGTCAGCACACCTTTCCTCCCCAAGTCGAGTGCTCCTACAAAACAAAACCTCAAATCCATTGGCAATACGATCAAGTACTTTCAATGTGTTCAAGTCTCGGTCTAGAGAAGGAGGAATCTTTAAGGCTGCATAAATGTACTTTTGCCGAGCAAACTAAACTTCAGGTCATACTAGCATCCTGCTATAGTGCCATCTAATCTCCCATCTTCGAGAAGACCTTGAAACACCACAACAAAAGACCAGCCGCTTGCAGTACTAACTTTTAAGTTTTAACGAGCCATAGTCATGGCTCAATCCGATGAGACTGCAGGTCAGAATCAGTATTTTGATCTGTTTTAATAAGCAAATCTATTTTTTAAGCATAATTAACCAATCAAACACTTCAACCACAACAGGTTGCACGGATCTAGCTAATTGTTTTCCAGAAGGTTACAATCCAGTGAAATGACCTACATAGTGGTGAATCGAACAATTTCTTTCACTTATTAAGACGCCTAAATGCGCGAAACTACACGAACTCCATGAAGCGTATGGGCACCAAAGCTCTTAAAGAATGGAAATGGGAAACTTAAATGACAACCACCTCGAAGGAATAATTTGAAAGTCAAAATTAGGACGCCGCAATTAAACAGGTCCTCCAAAAATCCAAACTTGGGCAAAGTTCTTCCACAAGAAAGTAACTACAAAGTCTTCCTGTGAGGCCCAAGTCTAAGGAAAGAGAGCGTTTAAACAATGCAAGATACTACTGCGAAAACTCACTTTGAAAGTTTTTTCTCTTGATCTGCTGTCGATTTGGTTTCCTTCGCATCAGTTTGTTCCACCTGATCTGATTTCTTATTCACAAGGGACGGAATAAGGGACGACTTCTTTCGCAGCATCCTTGAGGAGTGATATTTTCGCAGGTCCCGTACCTCCTCCTCCTCTGTTCTGCATCAACAAAGCATCAAATTGAGTGCTCAAGACTTTCGGGCGATAAAATGAGGTTTTTTTCCATCCAAACTATAAACGCTTTATTCATAAAAGCGCACAACGTATTTGGTAAAGAGAACAATTTCGAAGCCTCAGTATAGAAGGAGCCATAAGGATAGCTATAGAACATCCGCTTGTTCCATTCGTCCCACTGCGACGTTAAGAGCATTTAGACGGCAAAGTTGGACAGTCGACGTAACATCAACGCAATATACCGTATTTGAAGATCGCAGGAGGCACAGATATTATGACTTGGATCCCAGTGCCAGTAAAATTATCCCATAGCCACAAACCCACTGCTGCACACCTCCCGAATTGAGGGTGTGAACTGACCCACAATGTAGACGTCAGATATTAAAAATAGCAACAGGGTTGTATTAAATGAAACTGTTGATAGCTCTCTAGTTTCTGTGAGAATTCACTAACACGTAAGAAAAATTAGCCACACCCACCGATAAGCACTCATGGTTTTGACGGAAACCCAACGATTCAATTCCTTCTCATCCGCATCAAGAATCTCCTTCACACTCAATCCGAAGTCGTTGGGTTTCACCTGACGGTACTTAAAGCGACAGTGCACATCGTCGCCCGGACCCGAGCCATTGATGATGTCCTCACAGTCCAGCTGGTAAAACTCGTTGAAGTACTTCTCAAAGTCGGGGTAAAGTTTGGGATCAAATATCGGTTTTTGTCGATCAAGAGCACTTCTAAGAAGCGATTTGCCCTGTGCCTTTTTTCCACGTCTCCTGGGAGCCATAGTCGCCTCCAAGTCTTTCGCAGCTCTGGCTAAAGCCGATGTTTTCGATTCATCATTTACTCCTCCTCCCTTCTGCTTTTTTTGGGATTCGCCACCAGGAACCTCAATGGTATGCACATCCGATCTGTGCTGTTGAAACGAGGTCAGTTGTGAAATGGAGAGATAAAAAAAATTGAGACAGTGAATGTCAGCTGAATAAAGGCAAAAAATGATGCATATCTCAAGACCATCAACACACAAACACAACAATAAAACAGCGACCGATTTCCCATCCGCTCCACTAGTTTTGGATCGGATGAATACTACGTTTATAATGAGCGCGTTTGACAAAATTTAAAGATGCTAATTAGGGCGATAACAGATTTGGATAACCTTGAAGATCTCCTCACCTGTCTCGGAAGATAGCCATCGTAATCACCGGCATCAAGTCCAAGGCAAAGTTGATTGTCCTCTTCATCTGACTCAAACTTCGGTGCCTCATCCAGACCATCGTCAGCTGTCTCAGCACCGTAGTAAGCATTACCGAAGAGCTTGGCAACTAGACGATCATGTGCCTCGGGGTCCCAGTCATTGTCCAGACAAGTGATAATTTCTTTAGTCACCTGTGCAAAATGGATAACAAGAGCAGATGATGGCGATGACTAGTGACTTAAAACCGAGTTACAGCTGTACTTCCAAGTCTACTGGGCAACCTCTGATTCAACTATCATGTCAACATCATAAAGCCGAGTTAGATGTCTTCCACTTCCCTTAAAATACCAGCATTGTATGCCGCCCGGTGTTACTATGATAGACGTAGACAATGCAATGAATGTGAATAAACAAATATGCAAAGGCTCTCGTCTAGAAAAAGAAACAGGGTTGGAATTAAGTAACCAAAAATGTTCCCAAAGAAATTAACTACGAAACTGACAATTAAAATAATAATTTCTCATAACGATTTGACAATGACACTCATCGCGTTGCTCTGGTGATAGCATTTCTACAAAAAGAGATCGCTATTCAGATAAACGATTGTATTTCATTCTTACCAACACACATCCATTCTGTCCTCCTACGGTATGACTACTAGACAGATGACACTAAGCTGCTTGTAAAACGTTGATTCTTTACTCTACCCTCGATTCCGGTAAAGAAGAAGCGTGAAGATCCTTTGTCTTTCCAACTTCAGGTGGATCAACCCCCAAGGCGGATACATTCTCACGGAGTGGTATGCTATTAAGTGGTGCCGGATCGTTGGTAGGAAAAAGACGTCCAACTTTAAAGGACTTAACCTGATTTTTGCTGCTGAGACAAATCATGGAGAAGTAAAAGATGAAAAATAGGTGATGAATTCCAATAAAAGGTCCAAAAGGCGTCAAACTTCACCAACTGCTCCACTCCCGCAGTCTGTAGAAAGGACATTAAAAATGGAGCGACTCGTAGCTGACTCATATTAGCACAGTGTAGAACTAAACGGCACCCTCACCTCTCCACTGGATGTATAGACCTCAGAGGAATATGACCAAACAACTGCGAATTGAGAATTATTGTCAAAAAGGAATAGACTAGGAGCCCTGTCCCAGTGAGAACACAGTCAAGCCCTTTCTTACGTGAATCTGCTATTGAGCTGGTGCCCATATGACTAGCTGTGGACGAGAGCTATGGTTCGTACACTCTCACCTCCTCGAATGAAATTTTACACAAACTAAAACATTGGACCCAAAAGAATTGTTAAAGAGAATCAGCAACGTTGAGTTCAAACATTTTTCCAAATGCACAGATCTTCCGTGGTGGTCCAAGCATGTAGAAGAAAAAGGAAAGCTTTGAGCACAACAAAAGATAGAGAGGGATGCCCTATAGAAATTTAATTTTACTCTCAATTGGAGGGTCCATTATTGTAACACCACCGGGCGGACTGACCTCCAAGCCATTCCAATTTCTCATTAATCCTTCCTTGTGGCACAAATACAATTAGCCTTTTCTCGTCTTCATGGAATTCTCTAAGTGCTCAATGACAGTAGACTTTATTTTAGAACAAGGGCATTGTCAAGCTAAAATGTCTTATGCAATGTAAATACCTCACCCCTTGAACACCATGCTAGGACACACCAAAGTTCATTTTTTAACAGCGAGCCAAGAACAGACCAATAATGGAACAGGAAACAAGTGAAACAATCAGAATCCTTCATTGAGCTACTCCGGGAGTGGTCGCTTCGGGTCTACAGTGGTCTCCGATATTTTGCAGAGGTCTGTTTAGAAACACCCTTGAAGTCGCGTTAATGAAGATGTTACCGACTTCATTTAAAACTGGTGACATTTCCCACTTCTAGTGGATGTATACTCTACGAAAAGGTGCAAAATGATGCGTGTCTGAATCAACCGATGCACTACCACCAAAGGCCTATCAAAATCACGTTGACTTTTGACAACTATGCAATCTCGTATTCTGCATACAAGCCAGCAACGAAGAAAACCTAGTTTGACAGAAATAAAACAACTAATAATGCAATTGGTGGTTTGCGATCACGATCACGCGAATGCTCCACCCAAAAACTTGGCCCTGGGTTTAACTTCGAACATATAAGTCAGTGGCTTGAAGGTACAAACAGATTTTAAGTCCTAGTAAAACAGAGAAGAAGCCTTTTCTGTAATAATAGAAAAATAGCAAACCTCGTTCACGGGTGCGTCTTCACATTCTTTGGTGACCATCGCGAGCGATGCATCAACATCAATTCCATCGCCACAAGTTTTGCGAATATGTTCCAGCTTCTCTGCAAACTCAGCCATCTTCAACCTCTTCAATCTCTCAACATCAGCCATCTTAGCCGCCTTTTCCGCAGCCTTGCGTTCAGCTCGAGCCTTTCTCTTCTCAGCCCGAGTCATGCCTTTTGTGGCGTTTTGGCGCAGCGTGATCTCAATTTTGCGCGGGTAGGTTTTAATCTAAAGACGGATAACTTTATAAGCTTCAGAAAACGTCACCTAGGCTTGTAAAAAGGAAATAGAGAGACACTTACGAATTCCTTATCGTCTTCCTCAAATCGGTATCGAGTAGCCGAAGTTTGGGGATATTCTTTTGCCTGAAATAGAGAGAAGTGATTAAACCTTAAAACAACGGCAATGAAATCAGCATCGTAAAGCACACCAGTTCTTCGTCATTATTATTCCAAGCATCCTCGAATCGTCGGGCCTTAACAAGGAACTCATCGTCTGCTTCCAATTCCTCTGGGGCGGTTAACAGCGGCTCATCAGACCCCAAAACTTTCTGCGGCTTTGCAGCACGAATCACTTCCGCCATTGCATCAGCACTGAGTTCCGTTGCCTTCTGAACAGCCTTCTTTTCAGCCGACTTCCAACGCCTATTCACAAGATAGTCGCGGAGAAACTCAGCATCTTCTTTTGGCACTTGAAATGTAAAGTGAGAAGTGTCCTGAAACAAAAAAAAATGTATACGTGAAGACGGTAAACTAATATCGGCTGATAAAAAAGATTAAATCATGCCTTACGACTGGTGATTTTTTTGACTTTTCAACTTGGGACTGCAATGGCTTCTTGGAAAAGATTGTCTCCTCTTCGGTATTTTCACCAAAGAGCTTCTCGGTTTCACTGAGTGGAAAAGTAATTTAAATAACGATGAGGCATCCTCATTTCACCTACATTCATAATGGACCTATTTTCAGGCTTGTACGCCTCGCAAAGCCTTCGGAGAAACTTACGCCAAAAAGTCTTCCTTCTGTGCCTGAACATCTTTTGCACATGATTTCTTGGAAGCAGCATTGTCTATTACATCATTTGATTCCTTCTCCCCCGAAAGCAAAAGAATACGAGTGTGATCTTTGAGCAGTAGCGGCTGGTTCTCCTTCTTCGTATGACTATCTGAGCTTTCGGGTTTCTCCCGAAACCACACCTTTTCCTCATCATTCAAAGCTGGGTCATTACGGCAGAGGGCATCGTAGAGTCGCAAAAAGTCCTCATGTTCTTGTTCCTCCCATTCAGAATCTGATTCACTGGAGGACGAGGAAGAGGAATCATCACCCGTTTCCTCGCTTGTTGACCCATTAGGAGCCTTTTTCTTAGCATCAAGGAGCTTGACATCACCGTAACGAGACTTTAGCTTCTGAAGTTCCTCCTTTTGACGGTACTCGTTATAGTGCTTTGCAAACTCCTCATTTATTTTGAACTCCATACCTAAAAAGCAGGGAAATTATGTTGAATTGAAAAAAAAAGCACGAACAGACTCTAGACAGAAGTTTCGTGTACGGCAAAATCAGGCATATATTTTGCGATAGGGGAGGAAACAAAGGAGAAATAAAGCACCAAGGAGGCGAGCCAGGGAGATTGCATAACACGGAGGCAAGGAGGTGTGTCAGCAGCCCGACGAAGGCTGCTGTTGGGATGGTTGTGGTGGAGTTGGTGATAGTTGTTGAGGCGCAGACTGGAAGAGAGCATACTCGAGGAGTTTGACGTAGGGTACGCCTTCTGTAGACTCCGTAGTGGAAGCAGCGCTTTCCTTCGTGGTGGATGCGTAGACAGCCAACTCGCCGGTGACTAACGGTACCACCTTGCCCGACCATCGCGCGCAGCCCGAGGAGGAAGAGGAGGTGGGAGAAGACTTAAGAAAGTACCATTCTGAGGCGTTAATCACCACGGCGACAGAGGCATACTTGACGGGTACATCAAGGCGGAAGAGATGACGCTTATTCACTTCCAGGCTGAGACGAGTGGGCTCCAGTAAACGAGCTCCTACCCACCTTTGCAAGGAGAAATCTCAAAAGATAGTTCCATGCATTTAAAAGAACCTAGGTTCTAAGCTTAATCTGTAAACAAGCAAAACAACACAGCTGATAATTTTCTCAACTAACTAAAAATATGTTAAAAAAACAGGTAATCAAATCTTCACAGCAGAAATGTCCTGCTCTAGTTCCCTATTCAACTGCGTCGCGCAAGTGAGTAGTTTAGACTTACCAGTATGTTTGCCTAGGGAAAGCAGGAACCGAACCCGAACCACTGGAAACAGTGGGTCTTCGTGCATCTACAAGTATTCGATAAACACATTCCAGATGGTCACTAGCCTCAGTGGAGATGGTCCCAATATCTTCATAGGCAGCATAGATAGTAAGGTAGTAGAAGGCGTTAACAGGCAGGCGCAGATGGTAGTGCGCGTTCGCATTTGAATGGCCCAAAGTGTTACTAAGCACGGTGGTAGCGGTAGTGGTGATGGTAGATGAGGAGTCGAAGCTAGTGGATGAGCGCATTTGAAGAAGGGCGTAGTTGTCGCAGTCCGTCATCTGATGACCCGGACGGTCAAAGGACTTAAGCTGGTGGCACAACTGAACAAAGAAACAAAAAGAAATTGATTATCGAGTAATGAGTCGGTTTTGACAGCATACCAAGGCAAGGACAACGTAGGTATACTAAAACCATACTTCTACTTATGCCCTTGTATCATTCGAATGCATGCTACCGTGACGCCACTACACCTAGTATGCTCTGTATCTACTTCCCTAAGATGATGGATGACAGCCACCACTAGCAAAACGGTAACCATCAGTGGTTGCGAACGCAGGGAATATTGTGGGTTTTAAGTACCGAATGTCTATTCGCCTCCACAAACAACTTTGAGTGCAGCGTATGTTGATGATTTGGTTAGAGGGTAAACATCTGTACATCTATCTGCGAGTTTGCCCTTCCTCTCCCTTTATCAGGCAAAAACAATATTAAGTCCAATTGTCGCCCGATCCAGAGAAGAGCGCCTTTCGCCGGAACCTAAATATGCTCTAAAATTGCATTAGGAGCTAATCTCTGTTGTGGTATTAAACGCAGCACAATTAATTACAGGAATATGCAATTCCAGAAGCTTAACTTGAATGATTTTCATGCCGGAGTTTTAAATGCATTAAACGATGTGATAAAGGGATCAGTGTAAGGAAGGAGAATAACAACAAATCTTTTTCGCCTGCTTAAAACCTATTCCAAACACTTTTGGTGAAATCAGAACTTGTGAATTAACAATAGAAGGTCTTCATTATTTACTGCACTTAAAGCATACCCACCCGCAAGCCAGGAGAGATGAAGAAGGGTATTTTGAGAGGATCGGAGGAGGTGTGAAGAATATAAGGCCGATTGCTGTTGCTTCTGAGCAACGAGACGCCAAAGTGTTGAGCAGCAGGGGTTCGACCCAGGAACCCAACCTCCGGTAGCCGCCCCATGACTACCAAACGAGAGTAGTTGAATTCACAACACTGAACCTGGGTGGGAGCAAGACAATAACAAAGATAACGTTAAAAGGCCACTCTATGGCAGAATAAGCAGACCTACTGAATTTCCTGCGGCTCAAATAGTGACGCAAAGGTACGTACGGTACATTCGTAGTGTCAGTCTCCCAACATTTCTGTTAAACTATAACAAGGTTACTTTTAAACTCATATTCATGCCAATAACCATGGAGAGAGGTCAGAAGGCTAAAAGTAGTACTGATGATGAAAAAAGACTGATAATGACCAAATCTACACACGTTCCCAGCATAAAGAACAGCTGAAAATGCACTGACTTCTAAAAGCTACTCAATTTTAAGCTCTTCACATAAGAAGGCTATTTTCGTCATGCCTTCAAATGTCAGGTGAACCGATCTGGTGAATGTTTATTTACGGATCACATGCGACAACGCTCGCCAACTCCACATACTTCCCAAAAAATTCACAGCACGGCAGAAGTGGTTTAAATACGAATCTGTTCCCACAGGCGCCATACTATTTCTTACAATGTCAAAACATTTAAACACTTTGTTACAATCCTGAGAAAACCACTCAGAAAGTCCCTTTATTATACCAGATGGGAAGGAAAAGTCGCGTAAGGTGTTGAGGAAATGCCACCCAAAAACCAATAAATTCGAAGAATTGCCTATCCATTATTCTTTACTCTTTTCATCTCGTAAAAATGCAGCATCCAAAAAGGGTTGCCTGGTGGCTGACTGATTTGTGATGCAAAGCAGGACATGTACTGCGAACGGGCACATCATTGGCTGTCCCCAAACGATCCACCCACTAGACCAAACTTTTACGGTATTACTGCGTACCCCCTCCCTCAAACGGTTTGCTACTCCCATTGCTTCCAGCGGAAAGAGATTTTAGCAAAGCGGAAGTAGCAAATCTGTTCCATATTTTGGAAGAACCATGTACTGAATTGATGAGCATTCACAGAAAAATAGTACAAAAAGTTTCTGAGTTTACACGCACCATGAAAAACGGAATGAAAGAATTTATGACCGTAAATGATCATAGAACGAAGAGGCGATATCGTCTTATAGAGCAAGAAATGTCGAGCAATTTAGCAAGTCGACTGGTCAGAAAAAAGGTAATGTCAAGTAGAAAAAGAGCAAAAAGAGAGTACCACTCATAGATGTTATTCCGGAGAGTTTATTCAACTGGATGATAGTGAGGTAATGGCAAAGGAATTCATGCAGTTTACTTTGTTGTATGTTAAAATTTGCAATGTCTTAGGTGTTATGGGGGTGTAAACGGCAATGCAAGACAGTGGTGTATTAGCCACTGCCCTGTCCTTTGTCACATTTCACCAACACCTGTGCTATCAGCTTGTCGGACATTGTATCCGCCAAAATAAGGCCCACAACACCGTTTTGGGCAAAATACGTTTCTCCTATCATTCAGCTTTATCAGTGAAATAAAGAGTAAAGAGTCAACAATCAAGCTAAAAATAATCACGTCTTGCACACACGACAGGACTGACTACGTGGGTCAAATACGCAAAATCTGCAAGTATGAAAGCACCTTGTTGTTTAACTGCCACTCAGAATGGCCGCAAAGAAGCAAATCCGGAAATGAAAATCTTCCCTCTTATGTGTCACAGTTTAATGGCCACTTGTGCACTAGGGGAAAACACCAACTCACAAAAACTTATTGCAAAATCAACAAAAATCCTACGCTAATTGACAAATGTTACATGATCATGTAGCCAAATTGAGGAAAAAGTCATCCAGAGAAGCGAAGGATTTTTTTCTTGACTAGCTAATGTAGAAACGTTGCGTATGCACGTTGTTGTTCACCTACCAGGTCCAATAAAAGTGGACGAACATCGCAGTGAATTCACCACCAATCCATTTGATCTAAACACCTTCAATGAAGCACAGAGAGCAAAAAAGGGGAAAGCAGCAATCCCACGTTACCTTTTCAACCTAACATTACTTAAATGAGGGCCTACAAATGAAATGTCGCATAGTTATTTGGATAACTTTCGAAAGGTAACCACACTACTACGACCCCAAAAAAGTAACCAATCCAGATGGTATTGTAAGCTAAACTCGACTGTGGTTAAGCTTACTTTAGAAGAAAGAAAATGAAAAGCATTTAACCGAGTTTGGTTTAATTTTGGAGCGCGAGCACGCCACATCAGCGGGAAATCGCGGCAATGGTGGGAAATGGTGGAGAACTCAATACGTTAATGGAAGTTGTCAAATATGACGGATTACCTGATTGGGTTACTATAAACCGCATTTAACGTCGTCTAAATCCTGGAAATACGCAAATAAAGGCGATGATTTAACGCATTAACATGTAGATAGTAACAACGGTATTCCAGGGTTCCTACATGGCCACCAGCCCACTTGACATGGCCATTCAGAATGGCAAACCAAAAAAGCAATCAAGGGCTAGAAAAAGTAGTGAACGAAAACAATAAAAACAGAATCCATTAGGACCGTTTGATGGAGGCCAAAAACTAGTCTGTAAAAAAACTTCAACAGGACTCCATAGAATGATAATAGGGCTAAAGAAATTGCAAGCGCCATGAACACAGCTTGCTCGAATCGTTTGGAAAAACAAGAACTATCCATTCTCCAAGCCCACATAACATGCATGTCATACGATTCACAATACTAAAATTCGTAATAAGGAAAATAAAGAGAATTACAAGTACTAGAGATGTTGCAGTAGATGCAGTAGATGGGTTACGCGGTTGGGCTGTTCAATTTTGTAGACTAAAAAACTGAAAAACAGTTCAACGGAAACCATGGCAACAAGTGTTTAGTTGTGAACAAATTGTGGATCCGAATAAAGCCCTGAGATTTGTGTGTAGTAAAATAAGTTCAGGATTACGTGACAAGTCGTGCGAACCCTCGTGCAACTTACGGTAAAGCAATCGGGCAGAAAGAAATTCGTAGGCTTTGCTACACGCTTCACCACAATGATTGCCTGCATCTTCGCATGAGTTCCTCAGGACGGTACACGTTCTCGATCGCTGCACCATTTTCCGACCACCTTTGAACTCCATATCACCAACTTTCATTCAAACTAATGCGTACACGCCCGAAATCGCTCGTTTTACGATCTCCGCTTAATTCAATTTCAAAGTCGTGGAGGCTTCTTAGCAAACTTTCTGCATCACAATTCAAGGAGATACAGTTTCAGAAATTACGACCCAGAAACCAATAAAACTAGGCCTTGTGATTCAGGCAATGAACTAGGGAAGTGATGCTAAAATCTTGTCTCCCCTGGCCCCCCCACAATCACATGACTAAATGAATAGTCGATTTGGAGTCGAAGAGTTGGCAGACATAAGGAAGAAAGAAATAAATAAAATTGGAGCCAGCAAGACTTTGCCGTGTTTTAGAAGTGTCGGAGACAATAGCCACATCTTCGCCAGCTGCAAAAATATCTTCTGCTAGTGGATATATCCACAGGAACTTGAAAAAAAAACCTGTTAAAACTTCGTAAACTCTTCATACCTCGTCAAACAAAGTTTCCATAACCTTGCTAGTAGTGAAGTAAGATCATAGTCAGCAGTAAACTGGACACAAAAACGAGACACTATCTACGACGATATTCCTCCAACAAGGAGGACAAAGACACCAGTACTCAGACACTTGCCTGAAACGAGCATGCCAATTCACGAATATCGTCCTGCCGCCAATCAGGCGAGACGTAGATGTTGAGGTAGTACCGACCCGGTTGCGAAGGTGCACAGTGGATACGAACCATATTTGGGGGTTTTGTGAGCACTTCGGCTAGGCAGAGACCCTTGAGAAAATTGCCGTCAGCGAAGTTCTCCAAGCTGCAGGATATACCAACGAAGTAGGGCATCCGAAGTTTAATACTAACCTGGAACAACAAAAGAAACGGTGACCACAGACCAGAGGAAATACTAATCACTAATCATTCAGGCTACGAGAGGGAGAGTTAAAAGCTGCACCTACTTCGTCATACAATCACAGAAAGGTCTGATGTGTCCCACCTCTACTTTGCACAAACGTGCAAAACCATTGGTGAGTTTGTCCCAGTAGACACAAGCAAAATTCATCTACAGGTTTGCTTAAGTTAAGCAAAGATGACAAACAAAATACAATGAAAAGTTCAGTAGTAATAAATGCACTCATGTGGATGCATATCGAAGTAAGCTTGACTTCCCAAGCACGTCATTCTAAATGCGTAGTAGTAACCTCAAACCGTCGTCGACCAGGCCACATTACCATCAAAATAGTAGACACCAGTGACTGTGAGCACATTCACGCAACAGTGTGTGGTCGTGAACCAAGTTCACTGTCAAAGAAGACAAGAGTTACAGCTATCAGCTCGTCTCCGCAACCGACAGTACGATGAATTTAAACCGTCTAAGCTACTTCGGTCACGGTGCCTGTAAGTTACTGAACAGTGCAGGCCTGCATATTTATTCATCCGTCTTCTCCCTGTCTTTCCAGTAGATTACAGTGGTGGTTCCTTAAGCATTTAATCCGGAGAGCAATGCCTCTCAAACCGGAACTATAATTGCCGCATAACTGCTTGTCTGGAGTGCGAATTGCAATAAAGGCTACTCTTGTCGGGGAGACAGTAAAAGCATCACAAGAATTTGCGGGAATTCGGCATTTGAGAAAGCTGACTTAAGCAGGCCACTAAGATAAGGCGCACTGCTCTAGCAATAAGTTAACCATCACGGATCTTGTTCTGAACCCGGAATAAGTCTAATAACAGAGAAGGTAGCAAATAAAAAAACCAACCCTCATCCCAATTTGTCGTATTCATAACGATTGTAAAATTTAAAATTTCCAGAGAGAGGTAGGGGTTCTGAAAGCTGAATTTACTGATTAAGAAGTTAAAAATTTTACATGGATTGAAGAGGCAACAGGGAAGTGAAGACCGCGTTACAAATACAACGCGGCATAAAAAATAATTTAAAGCTTAGTTTACCTGACCATTCTTGGTAACAATACGCTGAGAATAGGGCTTCTTGAGAGAAAGTCCTGCATTAAAGAAGGCCGATTTGAGAACAGGCAAGGAAACGAATCGGGCCTGTGATATTGGTTTGGCGTGGAGCAGTTGCCACACCTTATTATCCGGCCAGTGCTCAAAAATGTGCTGTTCGGGGTCGGTGAAGAAGTAAAAGTCGTCACACTTGGGAGGCGCCTCTGCAACTGCCAAAACAAAATGACGGCTAGTTTAACGCTGATGGGGACAAAAAGACTTACACTCAGGAGAGGGAGAGTTCCAAGTCGAAGTGACATAACGAGCAGCCCAATTGCAATTAACAAATCGCCAGCCCCCAGCTGCATAGACAGCCAACCAGGTGTTGCGAAAGAGGGAACCCTGTTTAAGTGACATGCCCGGCCGATAGCCGGCACCTTTGGAGTAGCCCGATATGTACTGACAGTAGATTCCGGCAAAGCTGGACGCAGTAATAAATACACTGTTAAATCATGAAAGCAAGGAGACAAACGCATCTCTAGACGCACCGACAAAGTTCATGGAAGAGTTCATTCCTAGACAGAGAACCCATTTGGACGTTGCGAAGCATGCCAACAAAGGAGTCACTTGGTGCGGAGGGATCGTACTCGATCAGATCAAAGTTCTTCGCCGTCACCCATCGAAACAGCCGTCTAGAGACACAACAAATTAATCTGCCCGCAGAATTCCAGTGTACATCCATATGACTATGCAATAAAGTTATATGGTGAAGTTTAACACTCAAGAATGAGCCTTTAAAAAGACCACTGACTTACCTAACAATTTCGACATCGGAACTGCTGTCCTTCGTCAATTGGGAGACCAAGTCCGTTATCAGAGGTGGATTAACATTTAACATCTAGAAGAGAGAAAGCGGCATTGATAATGTGTGGTTTTGATTGGCAGTCGATAGCAAATCTAACCAGAAGTTTGATAAGGAGGCGAGGATCAAAAGGTGAACATCCTTTGAAGTTTATTATCATTAGTTAGGACATGGCACCTGGGACCCATTCGCTCAGTAATGACCTCAACTTGCTCTTTTCAAGGTAAATTATTCATTGCATTCAAGTAAAATATTACTAGTCGTTTTACAAATGCCAGTGCTTCACCTTTCATGATCAGGAATGGGAAGCCCCTCTGAGCGCTGCGCACCTACATATCTGGGGAATTTGTTACCTGAACTTACTTAATTACTTAATTACTTAATTGAAGCAAGCGTAAGTTGTCCAGGCGTTCCTCTGGTGACATGGAATTACTATGGAGAAGTTCATCAGTAACAGTGCTGATGTAGCGTCTCAATGGAATAAGATATGACTGCAGACCAAACGAATCTTCTAGACCCCCCGGATAGACTATTGTTGTGATGGCAAATTCTTAAGATAGCAAAGAAGCAACTATCATAAGTAAGCACGGTGTCATGATTCGCTAACTGAATAGATACGACAGGTCAATCAAGAAATTAGTGACAATTTTGTATTGAAGTGAAAGGCATGCAAGAGACAGTAAAAACCAATTCGAGCGTTGTGTTCAAAGTCAAAGTCAACTTAAAATGCTGCACCTTGAGAACATGACCGTCAATGCGAGCAAGTTCCTCAACTGCCGGCACGACGGCCGACCGAGATGTAGGCGGAGGCAGTGGTTTGGGCGGGGGCATCGAGAGTCGGGGAGGTGGGGGTTCCACCAGACCTCCGGGTGGTAGCAGCACCCGCACAACAGATGACGCTGCAGTATTAGCAGCAGTGGTAGTCATAGTGGTCGACGTCTTATTATCACCCGGTGCAGATGCTATCGAGGTGTTGCCAAAGATTTCACTAGACTTCTCGTCGTCGTCATCGTCTTCCTCGTCACCACTGTCGTTAGTCGCTACAGCACCAGCCAGTTTCAATCGAGAGGCGAAGGTCTGTGAGAGATTGCTGCTCACATCACTTGTGGTAGCGGTGATAGCGTCGTTTTGAGAAGTATCACTTTTGCGTGAGGCTTGATCCTAAGAAATGGTCAGATTGCTTAAATCAGCTCTGTATGGTTCGGGAGGAGAAATTGCAAGTAGTGCAGCGTTTTAGGAGACAATGAACACCGTTATCCCCCACAAAACGGGTAAAGAGTAGAAGTTAGATAAACAATGGGGGAATAGAGCAGAGTGTAGGTGAAGTTAGACAAAATTTCAAGCGAGACAGCCAAACTGAAAAAAAAATAATTCGAGCACTAAGCCAAATGGTATGGTTAAGTGTCTACCATAAAATGCTTTGAGGTCAGGGCCAATTTGCCATAGAGTGGAAAAGCCTGGTTTGAGTGATGCGGTGGGTAAATAAAACAGCTCAATGGGGAAATACCACGTGATACAGCGGCTAAAGTAGTTAACCATCGCTTATTTTCACCAAACTGACACAGCTACACTTTAAGCAAACGATGAGTTGACGAGTGTGAAGAATAAAGGCTATCAAATACAAATGGATAAACGAGTCGAGATTGTTGATAAAATGGGAAGGAAGCTCGTAGTTTGGGGCCGCTAGGATGAAATAATGGACACCAAAGCCGAGTGCATGATGAAAAGCACAACATCAAGCTTTTCCAGTGCATTGAAAGCTAGTGCAGTTCGGTGAAGGCAAGACAAGTGGTAGGATAAGGAGGTAGTAAGACTATAATTTGAAAGCGAAACTAGAAAACACAGGAGAAAGCCAGTGAACAAAAAAATATTCCCACTTTTGCGAGCCTACCGCATAGGTGGTCCCACGATAAACAAAAAGTGGAGCAAGGAGTAATAGGCAAGGACACAGAGCATGCCCATTTTTAAATTAGGGTGGATTCATTGAAAAAAAGAAACAAATCAAAGGACGTTCGCACTCTCGATAGACTGGCATTAGTCGATGATTACTGGAATCTAATGATGAAGTACGTTTAAGCAATAAAATGAAACGCCCATACAGTAGCAAAACCCACTTACAGTACCGATCGGAGCCTGTAACAATCTCCACCTACCCAAAATATGTCCTCGTAGTAGCAAGACTCCATGTTGCATGCCAGCTCACGCGTGAGTAAGTGGACAGGTGAATCATTTGGAGAAGCCCGCATGACTGCAAAATGTGCAATTAGTGTACAGACGCCCACGTTCCGATTTTCCGTCATAAGTGGCGGCAATATTTTATTGGAGACCTTAATTGTCCAGTAGGAGCACAAATTTGATCATGCATGGCCGCCTCTATGTAGAAGCGGCGAGGAGTAACAAGGCTCGATCAATTTGCAAACAAAACTTGCTTTCACCTAAATAAGCTGCACAGAACAAATATGGTGTGAATAGCTGAGGTAGCATGAAAATTTCATGATGCACTGTTTGTCGGTTAGTGGAGAGTGGAAAAGGCATAAAAAGATGCATGATAAAGTGAATGCACAAAGCAAGCCTTTTGATGCAAGCGACCAAGCAAACAGGCAAGCAAGTAAATGCAGAAGGATTGACAACACATACCAGGGACGACACTGAAAACAAAAGAATCAAATGAATGTGGTTAAATGATCACAGGCTCAGTTTAGTGGAAAGTTGTTGAGTTTATTTAAGGCAACAGACGCATACAGCATTTTAGCATCGATTTATCCTGGCACCAGATACTATTTGACCCTCAGAGGGGAATGGACCCCCCACTGCAGACACAAACATCACCGCTCCTAACATTGAATGTCCAATTCAAATGTTTCTCTAAAGCCAAAAACCGGGCTCTTTTTGTTCAAACAACTGACATATAGCTTACTTTTAAACTCAAGTGAAAATACTACACGCCACACAAGACAGTGACAGCGAGTATAGGGACAGATAAAACGGGGACCTACGCAGGTATGCAACATTAATTTTGAATGGGCTACATTGTTTTGGTCCCCAGAAGAAACACCAAGACATTATTTGGCGGCCTGAATATATTGGAGGAAAGACTGCGAAATGCATTCGGACATACTAGTTCATAGTATGCCCTGCGTTGTTTGCGGATATACCAAGCAGGTGGGCTGTCCATCAGTTCAAGCATTCCCATGAGTTCGCGTGTCTGAAATCGCATGATCCACTTGTTCCACACTAATGATTTCGTAGCAGTTGTGTAAGCAGAACCTGGCCGTCAACCGGGTTTCCTAAGTGCCTGTCAGATGTCTCTTCTGACAAGAGTTCGTTCAGGAAAGACACTAAATGAATTAGTATTTTTGTAGCCAGTAGATGTGCCACACGTGTATGCGTCAAAAGGATTTCTACTTAGTAGAATAGAAATTCGGCGCAGGAGTTAAAATAAAGCGAAATATTATAACCTAGGTATTAATAGCTACTTCAAGTGCTTGAAGGAGTAACGGGTAAAGACACCAGCTGACTACAGTGAATCCCCAACTCAACATGCTAGACCAACCATCCGCTATGACCACCAGCATATCCACGAAGATCCTACCTCTCGAAATAAAAATTTAAAATAAGACGTAGAGTGAAGAGTATTAGGACAGGATACCATTCATTTTAGCTAAAATTTAACTAGTAAGAGGGAGAATTCACTGCTGCCAAATCGGCAAGGTGTTTTGAGTACCGCCCAGGAAATACAAAGATGCCATCAAATGAAAGCGAAAGATAGTCCATAAATATTTCATTGTTTTAGCATATCGAACCACATAACTTGGTGCAAACAGTTCTCAATAAAGCCGACAAAAACCACATTCTACTCATCTGTATCGACATGTTTATAAAAGAACTAGATAGTTTCAGATGTGTGACGCTGGCAACGAACGTGCTGTACGTGTCCGGACTAGACATATCACATGAACAGTAATAAAAAGGTCAATTTACACGTGCTTGATACAACAATTTAGCCGTTCATAGTGGTACTGAAAATCAAATTAGTAGCATGTACTGCGTATCAAGGTAACAGCGGAAGGAGAAAAGGAATTAAAGAAATCATTGGAGAAATCACAACCGTCACTGCCTCCGGAAGGGCCCATTTTAAAACCATCCAGATCTGCGACTTTCGCATAAGTGCGCTTCTCAAGAACCACAAAAAAATAAGCGAGATTGTGCATCGCACTTGTTTCCACCCTACAGATTGCAAACCAGACAGAATACTGCGAAGGAAGGAAAGAAGGATCAGACACAATATATTTTTCTTATGAACTTGAATATCAACGAATCTGAACAAATTTAGGCTTGAGGAGCGAAAATCACCTCCAGCAACTAATAAAACCCCATTACCTTCGACAATGTAATAACGGTCTATCACGTTAGCATGCAGGGAGCAAGGCAACTTTTGCTAATAGAAACGTTAACCTCACTCAAATATCGGTAGTTATCTTAATTCGGCTTTGCGGAATAGGGTATTGAAGGCTTAAATTGGAAATTACCAGATACAATCCTGTCAAATCGGTACAATCATGAAAAATGGCGGGAAACAGGCTATTGAGAAGGGAAAAAAACAAGAATTTTGACGGCGCAATCCGCCTGCCCGGCGACGTGAATTTTCTAGCTGCAGCACTTACATCAGACTGAGTACTTGCGTGCCTCAAAAGTAGCGAATCTGAGGACATCCTTTAGAAACAGCAGTCCACCAGTACCAATTAACGTGCGAAATCATTAAAAAATCAAAAATTTGTATGCAATGCATGCATACTATCGGATGAACTGTATACCTGTGAACGGTTCTGAAGGGCAAAAATAGCACCCTCACTGGTCAAATAGTCAAGCAAGCTCAGCGCTCGTTGTCGTGTTTCAGGTCGAGTCAGTGCCTTCAGCAGAATTGTCTGCACTTCAGCAGCCCTGCCCTCCGCTAACATGGGTTGAAGGCGCATTGCCAGAGCGTCAACAGCCCGTGCTTCCTCTTCCTCGTCGTCACCATCACCTTCAGCATCAACCGGAGCGGAGTCAGTAAAGGAATCCGAAATGGGAACCTTACGCCTCCTCCGTGGGTTTAGTGACCGTGTACGACGTCGTCGACACACTCGATCTCTCGGTTTTGATACCGCGATCGGCCAAAATTCGTCAGAGGAGAGAGCCGCATAGGCGTTATCACCATGAATGTTTAACGAAGAACTTGAAGATGACGATGAAGACGACGAAGCAAGAATACGGCGTCGAGAGCGACGCTTTAGATCGTTTACAGATCGATAACCAGTTGGAAGTGAGTTATGCAGCTTATTCCGTCTCCGGTGGCGCGCAGTAAACGAATCCTCGCTGGAATCTTTTTTCATCTATAAAAATTTAAATTTATTGTTTAATGATAGAAGATGCTCGTGGTAGAGCAAAAATGTCCTAAAATCAAGGCTGAACGCCGTCTGTTAAAATGAACGAATCATTGCGCCGAAAAACCAATTCATGGTAGGATAAAATGCCAGTAGCCTACTTTCGAATCCCTCTTGCATGTCAACGTGCAAAAGCTCTCTGTGTTACTGAAGATAGTAAAGGATAGTGTTTTAGTGCGCTACAAAGGTACAAATTAAGTCTAAGTGGTAGGCATCAATTGTCCAATATGAAAGAGATGGCATAAACCCTAACCATGAGCTCAAAGCTGCCAGTCCTCCTATCCTTCCTAATGGTAACTAAGAAATACGTTTTAATTTTCATATGCACGATCGTAATTAGGGTGACAACTCGGAAGCAAGTAACAGCAGAAGAAGGAAAAGCAAAGCATAACATATTGCAAAGGCGATGTGTGGAGCTAAACAAAAATATTATTCGACCCATATCAACCTTTTTCTAATGGCCGAAATCTCCTGTGACATGACCGATTAGATCGGGGGGAGTTGTTTGCATCAACAGAACTGCTTTGCTAAAACAGGTAATAAAAATGCAAGCCTCACTTCAATTTCCGACTCGTCCTCACGTGCAGGCTAAAAGGCACATTGACAGGAGGTTGAAAAATACAAAAAAAAGACAAACCTAGGACTAATTCAGAAATAGTTTTGAACTTTTGCCTTTAAAATGGCCCTAGAGATTACTCAGATGCCCTCGGCTAAGGTTCAATCAGCATTCCCAGGGAAGGATGAAGCAATGGAAGACTGAATTAGATAGAAATATAAATAAACGGACAAAAGCATAACCAACCGAGTGTCTAGAAGATGATCGATGAAATGAAGATGTTCCAGAATTCGCTAATCTTTGACATGATCGACAATACTCGCCCTGTCTTGCAGCATAAAGGCACAGTGGTTCACTGGGCGAGAGTGTGATAACGGATTGAAACTGTTCTGTGGGTTCAATAACACCACGATGGTAGAACATGGAGTTACTGAAGCTTGACTGAGGATAAGAGCCCGTGGCATTCCCATCCCTTGAGACAATTCTAGCTTCAGGAGCAGGAACACTAGTTAGTGTTTCGTACACAATTGTTGGACACTTGGAATCAGTGTAGCGGGGTGAAGAATATCTCCATACTGATGGTTGGGTGTCAGATACTCTGGGTTTTGGTAGATTAGAAATATGAAAAGATTTAATAGGATCACGAGCTTGAGAAATGACACTGCTATTGGGATTTGCACGAACACTTCTCCTGACGATGTGACGAGGATGATAGGAGGCACGAGGGTGAACTGGGGCATTTGACGTCATAGAAAGGTTAGGCATCAAAGAAGGCGAATATGAATCTGGCTGAACAGTTGGATTGAGAAAACGAGACTGAAGACTAGGAAGACCGTTACTGGTTAGAGTGGTCGTGTAGGAATCACGAGCTCTCGGAGTCAACGATCGCGGAAGCACCTCATCGCTCGGAATGGAATTATTAATCGAGTTAGATGAAGTCGAACTACCAGCGAATGGAACATCTTTGGGTTGGCCTGAAAGCTGAGTTAAAAAGCTTGACCGCAGCGATGCAAGTTTTTGGCGATGCATGGAAGCTTCGGAAGCGACTGAAGTAGTTGGATGAACTTTTGGCCTATGCGTTTGCTTTGGTTTATCACCATACATATTGACGGACCTCAAATTTACTACAACCTGGTTTCAAACAAGCAGTGGAAGCAGAATGGTTTAATGAATCCAGAACTTCATTTAGCTCTTGGATCAGCGCCACAAAGGAACGCAAATTCTTGCTATCCGATGACGAAATGCACGAGAGGGGTTCATAAGGGCATAAAAGCAGCGTTAACGAATAAACATTCGAACTTCAAAATGTTTTCACGTTCCAATAGGAGTCCACATGGGAAGGAAAGCGAGAGACCGCAATTCACTGGACCAGAGCAAAACACCACGCACCCACACAGAAGGGCCGCAGATTCATGTGACGCGAACGCGCATCGACGTAGTAAAACAAATGTCTTTAGATTTGTAAACCAAGTTAAGAACTATGCTTGCTGGTCACTTAGCCGGCTTAGTTTTGGATGGCTAAATAAAATGCTACAGCTTCTTTAATTGCGGCAATATTATATGTAGTCTTGGGGGCGCAAAAATCTAGGCTTTGGTTGTGCCTGAATTTACTGTGGAGTATGTGTGGGCATGTTTTCAAGTTAATCATAAAGCACATTTATGTTGTAGTGTCCCGAGACTTTCCACAGAGTGGGAGAAAGCGGTAAGTGAGGCTGCATACATGTATTCTGAAAAGGACTGAGCAAATGGGCCTGATCATGGCCCGAAAGCCACTCCACAGACACAAGGGCAAGACAAATCTTAAATGACTGCCGAACGTCTGGTGGTCACATAAGCAAGGCATCACACATGTGTTATTAAAAGTACCTTATTGCGCTTAATCAGAATGACGATACCATGCCTAGCATGTTCACAATTTCTTATCTTCCTCATAAGGCAGTAATTACTTCATCTGCATTTATATCCTTTGTTAGTGAAAGTGCTACGCCTTTTTGACTACCGTGTCATAGGAGTAAAACAAAACCTAATTGCCCCCAAGATTGCATTCACACCTTAACAAAATTTTAAGCCTTTACAATCGCCTCCACGACAGATTTTGGCTGTGCATACGCAAAGGGAGAAGTATTCGTAAGACTGTTTGTGTAGAACCAGCCTGCCTACCCTCAGACCCCTGAACCTCGGACTTCAGGAGAGGGCTAGTTGCGGAAGCTTTATTCGGGAAAGACAGATGAGACAGAAAGCAGACATCAGCCTAGGAAGAAATCTTCACACTCCTCACGCAAAGGATTTGTTTTGGTATTGATTTCCCGCAGTTTGAAGTAATCCTTTCCTGTTGCCTTTATTTAGTGGACACATTTTATCTATCAGAGATTCGAAGAATATTTTCTTAATACCTCTTCTCGCTACCTGCGTAGAGGTGTGTTGTAGCAAATGCAGATCAGTTGTTATTGCTAGAAAAGGCCATTTAGCCGTTGAAGAAGTGAATGATGTAGGTAATTAATGACAGAGTTCAAATACACTGTCAAAGGGTTACGCTCAATGCAACGATTTTAGTCAACACTCACTTCCTCAATTATTCGTGTGCTTGTTTACTGACCACCAAACTACTGAAACATTGCTTTAACATTGCACAAAATTGGCTACAACTGACTTTGACCGCACTTTTGCAGCCCTTATGCTGCATCATATGTAACTAATTTATTTTTTGTGTTTAGAGCTGAATAGTGTGTGAAGAACCTATAGGCTGTTTTACCACGAACTGTGATTTATAACTTGCAAGTCCATTAATTACTTTCACTCTTATTCATTCTACCTTGCAAACACTTTAATCAACAATTGAAATTTTTGTATTTACACAAATTGTCCGCATCCATCAGCCAAGTTAATTGTAAATGCACTCTCATTGCCTCCTCTCTCTCGCTCTCTCTGCAGCAGGTGAAGTGTGCACTAACGTGAGATACTTGTACGTTCCCTCAGTCAGTTGACATCTATAGCATCCCATCAATCTTGCATATAAATAATTTAACATCCAAGTAGAAACTTTTCCACCTCCAATTAGATAACGCAAAACTCTAATTTATAATACTGACAGTGACCCAGCGCGGCGGGTACAGTGCAGACTTCTTGCATCGCTTGGTTGAGGCATTTGGCCTGAATCCTTAAAACACGGCACATAGGAAGGTTTGCGTAGAGGGAGTACCGTTTCTTTTTTAAAACTGATAAAACTGAATAAGAAAATGGCACAGTTGGCCTTGAGAACAAGGGGGTATTGCACCACATTGACAAACCAACTCTGGATGACGGCAAAGGAGCCACTCAGAGCCTTCAGTGTTGTAGTTTTGGCACTTTGATTGAGCCTTTAGATAGATCTGCAGTTCTGGATCCATCCCGCAAAAGTCGTACGCCTATTTCGTGGGAGTAGACGCCTACTCTGATGTGTACTGCCCTCAGCGAGTGCGTGAAGTACCTTCGCTGAGGATGGATAATTGGTGAAGACGCCCCAACGACTATCTCTTCTTCGTGACAAGCAGATTGATTAAACCTGTGTTCCGTCCCCATACGATGTCCAACACATTTTATTTTCTCAAACTGTGGAGCTAAACAGGACGAACCTCATCATCCAGCGTGTTTGTTTGCAGGATCAAGGGCGTGGCAGTCAAGCATCCTTCAAGAAGCAAAAATATATGGCGTGATTTCCTTAAGGCACAAAGTGCACTGCATTAACTTACATGCAAAACCGGTCAAGGGCAGTGCTGAAGGCGAAATTCCAAAAGAGCAGAAACTATGCGATGCTTTAATCATTTAGTGAAATTTAGACTTTCATTACTGGACAAGTTATTAGCTTTTTATCAGTATACGACCATGGCGACCCGCTCTTGGAGCCAAGACGGAAGAATAAATCCCCATTCTTCTTTAATATTGCGTATTCTGATAGCGTTTCGCTTACACTTTCGTGTTGCGGGAGGCCTTGTCTCCCTAGGCTACTTGAGTGGAGACATTCCATGTCATATTAATTTAAAGACATTCGCATTTAAGTATTCTATGGGTCCTGGTCTTAAATGTAAAATCTGTGTTAAAAAGAGCGAGGACGTCAGTTAATATTGTTTACATGAAGGATAGTACTGAAATGGAGAATAAGTAGTTCTCAGGTACAAGCACAGTATTTAGCTAAATAACTGTGATTAGCAGCTATTGTGAATTAAGAAAACAATCGTTTAATCAAATAACTTTGAATTATTAGGGCGCGGTAAGAAGCACACAAAAATTTTAGCTGGGAACGGTTTGGAGCGAAAAAGCGAAAGTTCCACGATGGCCATTGTAAACCCTCTTGCGTGAAAAAAAAAGGGATTTCCGGGAGTGACGCTGTCCTACGAAGGAGCACTAGGATAGTTAATTATTGCTTTTCAAATTAAAGAACTCAACTGTATCCCCGTTCTATCTTGATTTTACTGCATTTCGGCCTCTATTTTTCACTTAAGATAGCACTTACCATAAGAAGGTACCTGTGGGAGGAATTCGTCACCTTTTACCCCGACACAACACTTTGTCCACCGTCTCAAAGCTCCGTTGTGCTTTCGGTTCCATCGGATTGACTAGCGACTTGTTATTAGCATTGATCTTAATTTATAAGAGAGCTTTGGCATTTATTGTTGCTGCAAATGCCTCCAACGGTTGTTACAGTTCACTAGAACAGAGCAGCCTAGAGATTTCACAAAATTATTTTAAATCTACGGTTACAGAATGGTACACTAAGCCCTCCGCCAAGGGGAAAGTAAAATGTGCAACGGCCAAGGAGAACGTTTGAAACAATTATCTAAACTGTATGAAGAGATTAAATTAGGAACTAAGTGACCGGAGGGAGATTGAGAGAAGGCAAATGGGATTGCTTATTAGGCCGGGCTGTTCCAACTAAACAACTTTTTGGGGCTTTATGACATTTGGAGGCCGCCATAGGGTTATGGTCTCCGATTCAGAGGCCTTGCAAGACTATGAGAGTGCCTGCCTAACCTGCAAAGCGTGCAGCTTTTGGAAATCAGGATTTGCGCGGCATAATTAGTGTTCTTTTCCACCAGCGCCTCTTGTAGAGCTATTGGAGGCAAAAATAGTACGAAATGAGTTTGCCTTCCTGAAATTGCTTAAATCAGGTGCAGACCAGACTACACATGGAAGATGCAGTAGAGGAGTTGCAAACAACCCACTTGGTTTCACTTGGCTGGAGGATTCCACATCCCCCACCTTGTTTACGAACTTTTGCAGAAGTTCAAAATTCGCGCTTTGTTCGTGGCTTCTGATTGGCTAAGATCGCAAAAACAGAATTTATCAACGCAAAAGGTGGATACAAATCTGTGGCCAAATAAATTGGTGCAACCTCATGCAGACATAACCTGTGAGGAGTTCATGTGATATTTTTAATGCGTAACCTCTCCCTGACTTGTGTAAAGACGCTGGTAAAGACGCTTCTCCTATCGAAGTCCACTGCTTGGCTTGCTCCATTTATTGGCTTAGGAGGGTGTATTTAAAAGAAACCAGTCAGCCATCAGTGTCTTACTTTTACATAAGTAAGAATTCGCCGTCTTTCCAGTGTGATTATCAAATTAATGACACTGTGTCGGTGAGCATACCCTGTCAAGTTGTTGAAAATTACCTTTCCATGCTAGTTTGTTTACCAATTTCTCAGAGGATGGTCCTGGGTATCTATACAGTAGATACATGCCGCAAAATGCAGGCTACACTTCCTGTAAAATGTCACATTTTTTTTACTCCGTTCCTCTTTAGGTCATTGTTTAGTAGTGGTGAATTCGGAGGTGGGAATTATCATCCTCATTCATCCCCTTCATAAAATAGGGGAGAAAAACATGGACTTTGGAATTAATGGACTGATTTACGTCAGTGCTTTTTTTTCACGAGACGTGTTGTTGTTTTCCTAGTGCGATAGGGCTTTTAGCTTTGTATGAATGGTCAAACAAACAAGGAATGGGAAACTGATTGTTTTGCCACCCTAGTTGTTGAAGCATGCTAAAGTGAAATAAAGGAATCTCCGTTTGTCAGTTAAACTCTCAACAGAAGGTCAACTGATGAAGTAGTAAGGATGCGCTCCCTAGCCC